TTTAGATGTCGTGGTAGTTAACATGCAAATACTATGGCACTCTAAAACCTAACACTGTGGTGCTAGTTCAATTTCAAGAAAATCATAAAATTACCAACAAAAAATAACATGATTTTTTTTTTTTGTCTAGAAAAATAATTAGTAAACTCAGGACAAACCCACACAAAATATTTTCACAAATAATAAACAAAAACAATTCACAACATATCAAATAATAAACAATGATACTTCACATAAATAATATAATAAGGAATTCTTTACACCAACAAAATTGGGTTGCCTTCCAAGAAGTGCTAAGTTTATAATCTTTAGTTAGACTTTGCATATATTTTCATTTTGGCAGTGCAGCATCACTATTATTCCTCAAATGATTTAAATATTGATATTTTCCTTTTTTTTTTCTTAGGATTAATTTAAGTGGTACTAGGTAAAGTGACATGGAACCTACTACTAAATAAAATTGCTAACTATCCTAATTAATTATCCAAATTTCTAATGATAGTAGCTTGGTTGTGTAATTAGTTTCCATATTAAGTAGTAAATTCTCTGAAGATTTCTTCCTTTATTTGAATTGATTATTTTGATTAAAGCATGTGGGATAAGAATGTCTAAGGTTCACTAAAGGTTGTTGAGGGTTATTTTAAGATTCTATAAGGTTAGACTGATTGACATTTCATTGATTTCTACCATTATTATTACTCCAACAAAAATTAAGATAGTTGGTCTAGCTAGAATTGTATATATTAGAATAAGAATCTTTAGGTCTTCTAATTACATTCACATTCTCAACCCCTTGAGCTCTAGACTCACTAGTATAATATAATTCATTCTCCTCTAAATGTACAAGTGATCCTAAAATTGAACTAACTCTAAGATTGTCTAACTTCTTATATTTGGCTACTACTTGATTTGTCAAAATACATTAAGCATCCAACTTATAAACACTGGCAACATTTAGGATTCACCCTATCAGAAGCCCACCAGAAGTTATTTATTGTCATCTCATCTATCAAGGCATATACCTCATCAAAAGATTTTGACATAAAAGATCCTCCTACTGCTTCATCAATTATTAACTAAAGTGATCCTACAAGTCCATTGTAAAAAGTCTCAATCACCAACCAATCAAGTAAAATATGATGTGGGAACTTTTTAAGCATTTTCTTAAATATTTTCCCGCTCTCATAAATTGTCTCTCCATTAAATTGAAAAAATTAAGTAATATCATTCATAAGCTTAGCAATTTTGGAAGGTGAGAAATAATTTGCTAGGAACTTATGTGCTAACTCAATCCAAGTGATTATGTAGATTGGGGTAAGGAATTCAACCATTTCCATGCTCTCATAAATTGTCTCTCCATTAAATTGAAAAAATTAAGTAATATCATTCATAAGCTTAGCAATTTTGGAAGGTGAGAAATAATTTGCTAGGAACTTATGTGCTAACTCAATCCAAGTGATTATGTAGATTGGGGTAAGGAATTCAACCATATTTTAGCTTTGTCCCATAGAGAAAATGGACACAAACTAAGTCTAATATCATTATCATTAACTCCATTATACTTGAATGTCACACAAATATAAGTTGGATCCTCAACAAGAGTACCACAAATTGAAAGTTTTGAGCCATATGGATAATGACGAGTTTCATTTCAAAATTATTAACTTAGATAATAGGTCGATTTATACTTTGATGAATTCCATCAACTAACGAATTAACATACTCCTAAAAGGTGTAGGATGGTCCGGATTTGGATTTGGTTCAACCATCCTACAACTAAAGTCTTTTTAGTTTTTTGAATTTTTGTAGGGCTCCTTTCTATTTCTAAGTAAAACAATAAGGGTCCCATATTGGCACTTTTATGCATACAACAACAGCAAACATGAACTGAAATGTAATAAACAAACTAAAAATTAAATTTACTAAAAACAAACAGTCACAGATTCATAGCATTATAAAAGAACATTGATTGCAAAAAAATATACAAATCAAGTAGGATTGAATTTGTAGTTTTTTAATAGTATAGAAATGATTGCAAAAGCACACACAAATTTCTTGGCAATGGTGCTAAAAACTTGATGGGGTTTGACGATATTGGAGTTTATACTTTACTTGTGGATAAACTATATACTCATAAATTTCATACAATAATAGATTCATATGTTGTTGTTGTTGTTGAATAGAATCATATGTTAAATGCTTCTGACTAACTCAAGTGCATGTGCCTATCAAGTAATAAAGTGTTATGAGAAGAGTGTTGATCGCATGAGAAAATAAGTGAAGCATAATTAACTAAAATACTTCATACTCAAGCTACTAAATTTATCTTACACAAAGAACAAAGAGGTATTTACTAGATTTACTGCGAAATATAGAAAATAGTAAAAATAACAAAAAATAAAGATATTTTGGACTAATGACGATGAATGAATCTATGCTCTCCTAAGTGACTCATCTATATTAGTTGTGGATTAGAGCTTATGAACCTTTAGATCTCTATCAAGGCTTTAAAGGTGTAAATAAAGGTTTATGAACTCTCCATAGTTATAATATCTCGAAAGATCCTAGAATCCTAACCATCTAATGTCTAGGCATGAAAGTATTTCATTTTAACTCTCCTAATTATTGTAATATTTCTTCGAAAAGGTAATCTATCACATTATACTTTAAATTCATATATAGTCATTAGACAAATTAAATTAAGTATGAGAGATATTAAAAATAATAATTCATGTTTATATATAAGAGTCTACATTAGAATATATATAGATTTGCATATCATCAGTACAAAACTAGAAGTTTAGCCGGCCAATAAAACAAAATTAACAAAATATATTTAATTACTTACTCAATAAAAAGTACAAATAGAAAATATGAAGAAAACAACACTCGGGATGAAGAATATCAAACAAATGGACTCTTTGACTGAGTGATTCTCCTTTACACCTTTGCTCTTCACACTCCTTTCCATTCCTAAGTATGGTCTTTCTTTATACAAGAACGATCAGCCACTCCACTAAATTTTACTCACCATCATCTAGTTTTTCTTCAAAAAAAAAAAAAAAAAAAAAAAAAAAAAAAAAAAAAAAAAAAAAAAAAAAAACATTTATACTTAGCATAAACAAACTTAGCCACTGTAGTGCTTGACTAGGTGCATCGCGGCTTTACAATATGAACTAGCGCCTTGACGCTACTTAATGTTCTCTACTATGGTGTTGGGCTTATCTAGCATGACTGTTGACTGAGTTAGTATGATGCTTATATAACTATTCCATCATGATGGTGCTAAAGATGGGCACAATGGCGCATCATTATATTATCAGGAGTTGCCGCATTATAGAGGTCAGCGCTTCAACGTTGAATTATTTATAATTTTTTTTAGGTTGTGGCGCAACATTGTTCACTTGTGGAGCTATGGCATTGACCTTTGTTCCATTGAGGCACTGAATTAAATATGATTTTCTTCAGACCCCTATGCTGCAATGTCCTATTTAGGCATTTGGGTATTGAAAACACTACGACGCTAATAGTTTTGGCACCGCAGTTCTAGTTCTTAAATTTATATTTTTTGCTCCTTTTCCTGAGACATTCATTTACAACATCAACAAAAAATACACATCTTTAATAGAATTTATCACAATAAAAGTGCATTATAATTTTTTCTTAATAGATAACTAATCCAGGATCCTTAGAGCCTCAAAGCACTCTTAAATCTTAAGAGAGAGTTCAAGGTCCATTTCCAAGATCCTCCTCTATGCTCCTCACTTATGTAGAGAGTGGGGTCTATATTTAGATTTTGGGGAGTGATATGTTCATAAATATAGTCAAATTTTAGAACACTTCATCAGATGGAGAAATTATGACGTGCGGAGTCCACACATAGTTTGAGTATGGACTCAAATTAGAATAGGCCAGGTCAGCCTGTACACAACCTATGTAAAATTTACACACAGTATGTGTACAAATTATACATAGTGTACGTGTGATGTGGCCTGTTCTTATTAAAGTCTGGATGTCATTTGGACTCTGCATGTAATAATTTCTCCATCGGATGACCCATATTGATCCTCTTAATCATAAAGAGTTTGTTCAATATTTAAGTGCCTTAATGATATTATATTTAGGTGATCTTAGACTTATTAGATTTGTCTCATCGAGCCAGTAGATTTAACTATAAGCATATAAAATTTGGATATCATTTGATCATTTAATTAATGTTTTGAAGTTTCTAATTAAGTTTCAAGCCCTTGATTTGAGCACATTTGGGTTTGGATTGGACGAGTTTTTGTATCATTGAGTTTGTTGTGTCCAGACATTCAGTTTGCTTAAGTTTGCTAAAAAGTAGTATTAATTTGAATGTCTTGAATTTAATTATTTTTGTAAATTTTGAACTCAAACATGCCTTGAGTTTCATACCCGACCATGGCTATTTTGGTGGCGATTTATCTAACTTTGGAGAAAAGAAGCAATATTTATATTTTGAAATTAAATATGTATTTAAAAATTACCCAATTCAACACCGTCAAACCTCTTGGTTGTGGCATAATCTTCATAATTAAATTTTTTTTTTTACCAAAATATATCAAAGAGGGTTTGATCACAACTAAAGATTATTATAAGTAGCTACGAAGACTTAAACTCTTAGAAAATAAATTATAAAACTAGTTGAGATGTAATGAAATGCAATGAGCCCAGAAATAAAATAAATTAAAACAAATCAAGAAAATAAGATGTAACAAAGAATAATCTTATCAAAAGAGTCATATATATATATATATATATATAGAGAGAGAGAGAGAGAGAGAGAGAGAGAGAGAGAGAGAGAGGAGAGAGAGAGAGAGAGAGAGTGAGAGAGAAAAGAATCACCAAATTTATCTCACGAACAATAATGTACTCAACATAAACTCTTATAGCAAACATCAATTATTTATTGTTTCATACAAAATCGAAAAGATATAGAAATATTTCTTCAAATAAAAACATTATTCTTATTAAAAGCCGTGCACTGTAAATCTATAATACTCCAACATTCTTAGGCATAACTTGGATGTGATAGCCATCAGGAAACTCTAAACCCGGAGATCGTACTATATTTCCACCTTTAACATCCTTCCACCTAAGCATATTAAAACAACAAAGTAGTTAATTAAAAATATGATGGAGCTAATAATAATAATGCTATTGCTTTATCAAAGTAATCACCTGCACTTAGTAACAAAGTAATGGAGAAAAATAGCCATCTCCAATTTGCTAAATTCAGCACCAATACAGTACCTAATCCCTCCACCAAAAACTAAGTAGTTCTTCTCACCACGATTTGATTCAGGTTTTCCCTAAAGTTTAAACCAATTAATCATTCAGTTAGATCAAAGTTAAATAATTTAAACATCCAAATGGAGTCTTATGAGATTATTACGTGTGGAGTCCGGGCCCAAAAAACTGTTTGGTTTTGTGACTGTGAACAATATTTGTGCTTTTACTATTCACAGTCACACTACCGAAGGGTTCTCTAGGTCCGGACTCCGCACATAATAATCTCTCCCATTCGGGTCTTATTCAATGAAAAATTACAAGTCTCATTTATCACCTCCCATCTACTAGGATTGAAGGTTAGTGGATCCTCATGTATCTGAGGATTTAAGTGTGTTGCAGGTGGATAAATCATGACAAGCCAATCTTTTGGTATTACATATCCTGCGATCATAGGATTATTCACAACAAAACAAAGAACATAGTAGTCAGGTAACAAATATGGTATACGACCAACAAAAAAATTATTTATTTATATATTTTGATATTGAATTTTTACCATTTATTGCAAAATCCTTGATAGTTTTACGAAAACTTGCGGGTACGATATTTGCTAGCCTTCCTGCCTCTTTGATAACCTGTAAGAATGATTAAAATCAATAAGAGAGACAAAATATTCATATAAATTTATAGAATAACTATCGTCCATTAAATAGAATCAGGAAAAGTTAATTAGCCCACCTGTTGCGTGAAGCTCATTGATTTGTATTCTTCCCATGTGATTTGGGAGTCTGGTTCATCCCGATTTCTAAGAACTTCTTCATGCTCATCCTATGATTTAATCATTTATCATATATATATATATATATATATATAACGTATTATTATCATATATATATTTATATATATATATAACGTATTAATAGCTAAAATAAACTAAACAGTACGTGGACTAATATGTAAATATTCAGCTCATGAGTAGGAAAACTAACGGTTAGATCCTTCAAAATTTTTGGATCCTCACTGAGAAACTTAGTAGCAAGAGAAATTGTTCGAGAACTTGACACAAAGCTTGCAATTAGAAGAACAAATATTAAATTTAAAGCTGATTTCTCTGTTAACATGGAGTTTTCTTTCCCGAGTTCGTCAACTAAAAGATCGAGAAAATCCTTGCTTTCTTTTCTTGGTGATTTCATCCTCTCTGAAAGTAAAGTTTTCAGTAAATTCATCACAATCTTCCGCCCCTGTGTACATTAATATAAACTAACATCAAGGATAATATACTAAAACATATAATTGTCAGATAAAAAAGTTAGTAACTAGCTTGCCTGCAAACTCCTATGATAAGCAGTTCCAGGAATGTTAAATGGAAAGGAGAACACTGAGCTTATAAAAACTTTAAGATATCTCATTAAGTCTATTGTTGTTGTTGAAGGATCATAGCTTATCAAAGTCTTGGCTATGACATCGAAGAAAAGCTACAAATACATTGACCATTGAGTTAAGAAAAATGAAGAACATAAAGCGTCGAAACATAGCTAAATTATTTTTCATCAACTTACAGTTGAGATTGAATCCTTGAGGTCAATGATGGATTCATTAGCAGACCACAACAGAGACGCTTACGAATTTCTTTGTCCATATACATCAGGAGTTCTTCTCCTTGAGTTTCTCAGGACCTAAAACCTTAATGATTATGCTCTCAGGTACCTGACTTAGCATCTTTCTGTCATTAATATCTTCTAAGTCCGAATAACTCAATGAAAGTTTTTGGGTATGAAACTCTTTAAATATTTCCCCTCTTGTTGAAGTACAAAATAGTTGAGCTCTGGGTCAGTAGAAACAACAACTTGCAGTCTAAATAAGCTCTTAAGACCAGACCCTATCTGCTATGCATAAATATTTCAAAGAAGAAGGGAAGCAATTTTAAGTTCTTTCTAACAAAGTACTGAATTAAAATTGTGGTTGATAAAGAAAAGATAAATTTATGCCATAAATCACAAATAGTTAACTATTTAAATGGAAAATCATTCTATTTGTTTTGTGATTAATACTACAAATGAGTAATTGTATACAATTTTAAAATAAATTAATTATTTTGAATCCATCCGATATATTTTTTTGATATCTGGAATATTAATTTTTGATTCAACACAAATTTAAAAGGATTCGAAAGTTTTAAACTAATCAAATTCCTCAAAAATATTTCATTCTCTAAAATAAATGTCCATTAATTTATCAATTAAAAAAACATAAAAACTAAAAAATATAACTATAAAGTGTTGTTTGTCTACCTTTGTTCATTTTATCCTTGTGAAAGGATGCATATCAATAGAAGAAATTGGGGCCATAAACTCTATGGTCTCTCCAATAAGAGGCAAGCCCATGGAACCAGGAGGGAGTTCTCCATTATTACATTTCGGATTTCTCCATTTATGATTCCATTGAATCAACCAAACAAGGAAAAGAGTTACTGCACACAAGAAGCTGGTGAAGAACATATTATTTCCTTCTTTGAATTGATGAGAGCTCGAGAGCTGGATTAGATGAAATGGTAGGAGAATGGAGTTTTATTATGGCATATATTTATTTTGAAATTTTAAAAGAAAATAATAGAAGAATTTTTTACTTTATCTAGAGATATAAAATAGTACACTAGAATGGGTTTTCTCCTTTGAACTACTCAATCAATTCAACTTTAATCGCATGGTAATTAAAATATGTATGATACTAATTAATCACCATATGTATTGATATGAAGGCACAATTTTTGCCTATAATAATAATAAAAAAAAGATTAGTGCTTGGTCGTGGTAACCAATCTTGGTAGGGTAGGCATAAAAAACACTCTACCTTCATGAATAAATAATGCTCGGAGTTTGATCTTCAACGGCTAACCCAATATCCTTTGAGTAAAGAAAGGTGTAACAATAACATCAGATAATTTAAAATAAAACCTTTAACTTAATTAATAGTGATATAATAGAAAAAAAATTAAAAAGGCAAAGCAAGTAGTTGATGCATGTCACAATCATAAAAAAATTGAATCAAATAATTTAAAATAAAATGCACGTACATAAATAAAATCATACTCTCCATTATATACATGAAGTCATGAAATAGAGAAGTGAAATTAACCAAATTATATTCTCATATATGCTTTTCACAAGTTCCTAACAGATAGTCGGAGGCAATGGAGGATTCTATTAACCAAGTAACTCTCCTCGCACCATCACAATGACTCACTCTTGTTCGAGGGTAAGTATCTTTATCCCCCAAACATCCAAGTCCAGGTATAGGAAAGCGCCTACCTAGGGAGATCTCAACTCGACCCACCATGACCAAGGAACTAATAAGCTCTTCTTCTTTGCATCCTCAGTTCACACACCTTCTCCACTTGGTGATCAACACAAGTCACCAATGGCTCCCAAACATCACTAAGAGAATTAGCCTTGCGGCTACCCAAATAATATCCGTCGGTGAAATGGATTTTGCCATTACAACCAGCATAATGTAAATACTTAAGAACTACAATTTTTATGTTCAATTTGGATCATCCGGATTGATGACACAAACTTTGAGACAAAACATGCATATCGAGGAGAATAGGCCTCGGCACTACGTACCCAAACGAAGTCCGCCCACAAACAAACTTTGGCACTACATTCAGAACATCCTAAAAACCTAATGAATATAGCCAATTTGTTATAATTAAAACATACGAGTAGTTCAACACCCATCTCAAGGCAACTCATGCATTTCGAGGAAAATGTCACTCGACGCTACCCAAATGACGTTCAATTTATGAACAAACTTCATCGTTGTGTCCGGAACATCGTCAATACTCTAAATGCACTACCATATTATTCAATTGAGGTTGTGCATGCAAATTGAGGCGGTCCCAAAGTGATAGCACGCATTTTGAATAAATTAGGCCTAGCCCAAACAAAGTCTGATCACGAAATGTATTGCACTGTTGTGATCGGAACATCGGCCATACCCTAAGTGCACTATCAATTTTTCTAGTTTTTATATTCGATGAAAACAACATGCAAAGTGAGGACATATGCATGAATTTCGAGGTGAAATGCACATAAATTGAGAAAATCATATATATACCGAGTTGATTTTTGACTAATTAATGAATTCCTGTTGTTTGTAGTTAATGCGTTGATGATCTACCACTAATATAGGCATTGACTTGATAAATTTTAAACAAAACCAGATTCCTAAATAGAGAAAGAACATCAAATTCATTGAATGCTTGAAAAATCTAATACCTCTTTGGTCGTTCTGTCCTCCTGCAGCAGTTGGCCTCGAGTAGCGCAGATTTTCCATTAGAGTGAAATCAAACAGAGCTATCTTTGTACTACGGAGACTTTTGAACTTAAAAAAATATAGATCTCAGCTACTCCAGCACTTCAAGCAAAGAAACCCATTACATTTGCCTCTTCTCTGCTCCCCCGTCAAAAAAAAAAAAACCTTTCTCTGCCTTCCCACATCCTCCGCCTCTCTCTGTCTACATGAAACCCCACCCGTCCACACTCAATTAGACGTCCAAAGCTTTCTTCCTCATCACCTGTTATAGCTGATTCAATCCTCTGAACACTACACACAACTTCTTCCACCTAGAAATTCGGCTCTAACCATGTCTAAACTCCGCAACTTCTTCAAGTCTTCAAATCTCCTACTTGCTATTCAGCTCAAACCTCACTCTTCATAGCTCCCGTGAAAACTCTTGATCACACTTCACTTAGATGCCATATCCGATGAACTGAGATGAACTACAGAAATATGCCTTCACCTCACGCCTAAAGTAGTTTCTCCTTCTTTGCATTTGTGTAGGAGCTTACGCAGGATCTCTGCTTCTTTATAGAAACAATAGTTACATCCCATTCTCAATCCACAGCATACTTCAAAATCCCATTTTCTTTTCCACTAAACCAGCCCATCTCACTCATACTGAAGCCCAAATCTCTTTCTTTTTACTACAGTAACCCAGTCCAGCCCACTCCAAGCCAAATTTATCCAAAAAAAAAAAGAGAGAAAAAAGAAAGAAAAAAAGAAAAAAGAGAGTCAGCCCATACAACTCATTTCAGCGCATCTCACAAATAATCAAGCAGCAAGCTCTTATTTCATTGTTCTTTCTTTATTTGCATGTAGTGTTATTAACTAATATTAGTAGGTTTGTTAATACTCCCGTAGTTGGTGGTTGATAATTGTGCATGTCATATTGTATTGTATGTATGTATATGTACACAAAAAAATAAAAGATGTGAGGTGTAAAAAAAAAAAAAGAAGGAAAAAGAAGAAGAGAAACATGAAAAAAAACAGAAGAGAAAAAAATGCAAAAAAAAAAAAAAAGAAAGAAGATTAAGAGAGAGAGAGAGAGAGATGTGAATTGTTTCAAAATAAAAGAGAGAAAAATGAGAGAAAAAAAGGAGATTCATTGTTGCTTCTTCGCAAAGGTATAAAATTCATAAACTCAAAATCTCGTTCTCGATGTTAGTAGCGCACCGGAAAACAACCATACATGCTTCTCTAGCGTGGTGGGAAGGGAACTCGGTGCGACGCCTATGGCGAGACGGGTAGACCTTGCACAAGCTTTTCTCTAACGTGGCAGAGACAAGTATAAAAACTATATTTGTTTGAATTAGGTGCCCGAGGACCTCTACACGCCTTCTCTAGTGTGGTGGGATTGAAGACTTTTTGGCCGCGGTGTCACCGACACCTATCGTACATACTTTTTTTATAGCATGGCGGGAGACCCAATTTCTTGTAGTTTTTTCTAAACTGGGGAGATGTCAGGAGACTGTCGTATTTTCCAGTTGACAGAGGACATAACTTGGACAAATTTTGGACATGAACTTGTGCTCGTCTTGGACATGACTTGAACATTTGAACTCAAGAAAAAACTTGAGTCAGAGAACAGGGAACTTGAAGAGAACATGAAAAGATTAATAAAAACTTGAGCCAAAATCCTAACATTTGAAGATGAAGTTCATGAATTATAAGAATGATAAAATCAAAAGGAAATGAACAAGTAAGCAATGAATATGAATTACAAGCTTTGATATGGAATTTCCTTTTTGAATAACAACAATTGACTTGTGATGATCACCTCGATTAGAATGGAAATATTAAGGGGTTTAATATTAAGTACATATAAATTGCAAATTGCTTTTAAAAATAAAGAACTTATAAGTATCATTTGTTTGCAAGTGATAAGAAGAACTTGAAAGACATGGCTTGACTTCAAAGCCATGATATAGAGACTTTTTGTGGTCATGATAATTGACTTGTGATATTAGACATGACACATTCCCAAGCAACAATCATCAAGAATTATAATAGACGGGGCAATGTGCTTACAAGCAATATTATGAAACTACAAGAAACTTGTAATGAACAAGTCTTCAAACATGAGCTTCCAAGTCAACATGCCAAACTCTTGCAAGTACAAGTCATTCAGAAATGATAATGAAATTCGTCCAATAGATTGACTGGAGATAGTTGCAATGACTATAAAGATACATAATGGATATGATTAGATCTTTATAGTTAATATCATCACCTAAAAAAGCAAATGGGATCTTGCAAATAACGAAGATTGAAAAGCATATGCATTTTGATTGTGAACACATGATGGAGAGCAAATTAACCATGCCAGCTATAAGCTACTTATAAAAGCAGTGAGAGACTTATGAAATAAACAAACATGAGGAATGTAATAACATCTTCATAGGCAGTGTCATTACGCAAATGAGAAAGTGGAAAATAAACTCCCAATGCATATGAATAGTTGACAATGAACATTAAATTAGCTTGAATTCTTCAATCCACCAAGTTAAAAATGATTTGTAGACACTACAAAGGAGGGATTCTCTACAAATGCATCATCATGTTTATGGGTAGAAGGCATAGATGTGTGAAAAAGGCAATGACACTCCAATCAGTATGCTCATAATAAAAAATATGAAGCTTTCAGTAAACATTAGATACCCTATTGCCCATCAAAATGCAAATGCCAACGAACAATGAGAGAAGATGAACTTATCTCCTACAAGAAGGGGAGATTCAACATGCGTTGAACTGAAGGACATGACATCTTTGAATAATTCAAAAAGAATACAGCTCTCATGCAATTAATACTACTCAGTCACAGATAAAAAGACCAGTCCCCTACCAGTAAAAACAAGGGATGCATAGCAAATACAAATGTTCAAAGGCCCATTATACACCCAATCTATTATCCACAAGCAACATACATGGTGAATACATTAAATAGGAGCTCCTATGAGTTGTTATAGAAGACCCGCTATAAATATAAAGTACCATCCCCAAGAAAATGAAAAAGATCATCATCAAATATGAGCTTATAAAATAAGCAACAACACGCCACCGAATCTGCAACATCCATGCAAGCAGATAGAAGGAAAATATTCCAAAAATGCCCCCCCCAATATATACACCATAATATATATGCATATAGGTACACAAAAGGGGGAAAGTAAAATCACACAACCCGCATGAGCCCCAACGAGCATGTTATGGTTACACACGTGACTTTTAGAGATATTACGACGACCAATAAATGAACGTAGTTCAAACCCGATCCTTCTATGTGGATATATAGGAGTCAACACCACTCGAACTATTAAATAGATATATGGCCAGGGTGTTAACTAGAATATATATTTTATACATTCATATAAGGCCTTCAAGGCCTATAATAAAGAAAATTTATTTAAAAAACCACAAAGACAAAAATGAGTCCGATACTCTACCGTCACCTGGACAAAGTATATGGTTCAATACACAAATGAAAATATCCTCCAAACACCCCGAGGATGATCATGTTGAATAGAAAAATCAATGGGAGGGGTTCAAAAAAAAATTTCAAATTCCACCCAAGTACATAATTTAAATTCAAAAATATCGAGATCATCCAATTCCAAAATGTTTAAAATTGAAATTACCCATTAATGTTTAAAGCAAAATCCATCCACCATCCACAATAATTTGCTGGGGTAGACAAATTAAAATTTACTTCAGCTCACATAGAGCTAATGCTTAGTCAAAAATATCTCTAGGATTCATTCTCAAATAATCTCATGCTAGTAAGGACATGATATGTATCCTCTGACCAGTGATTTTGTTGTCAAATGGCACCATAAGATAAAAGGTTATGACCCAGGGCCCACTGAACCGAGTGATTTTGCCTCCAAATGGCTCCACTAAATTACGATTATAATAAAGCCAATACGATCTTTAGTGGCATCAAATTATTGAGATATGAATCAATATAATATAATTAATAGGGCACAAAGCTCTCTGTTAGCTAAGGTGGATTCAAATATGTCCCCTTAGAAAAACATTCACTCAAGGTCTACAAGGTCCCCTTGGATGAAGCAACTCATGGCTGCCGACAAGGATCCTTCTGCCAGTTTGGGTCAACTTCCTCCTCTGACTAAGTAGACTAGGGACCATGATGACCTTGAATGATAGAACTATGGGATCTTGATCGTGTCAATCATTCATTCCCCCACATCAGTTTAAAGTGCAAGATGGTGCAATTCCAAATTTTAAATATCAATTCTTCAACTATTCTCAAACCCATGCTACTACTATATGCCATATACTACATATCTATATGTATATTATTGATGAAGACCCTTAATCAAAAGTTCTCTCTCATGATTGAGAAGGGTAATTAACTATAAGGGCTTGTGTCTATAGGAAATCAGAACTCAGATCATAAAGTCCTCGTAAAATGAGGGAAAAATATCTAGGTAGTGTCTTATCTACAAACCCTTCTGCCTTCAAGAGATTTACCCAGGAACCTTAATTTTGTAAAACTCCCAAAAAAAAAAGCAGCCAGGGAGGCCTGGGCCAAATTTTTGGAGCCCACAGATTTCTGGCGACTTTGCTGGGGATTGGTTTCTCTTTTCATCTTTGACTATCCATCTCAATGCTATAGTACTATCAAAACAAATATTGGCTTAAAATTCAAAACTTTTCCAAAATGATTATTTAAAGAATTAAAATTTGGAATACTTTAAAAAATGATTATACAAACTAATTTATTAAGATAACGTATTTCACAAAGTTTTTAATTTATCTTAATTAGTTGATTATGATTATTATTTTTTTATTTTGTGCAAGTCTATACAATTTAAAAGTGTGGGGTGATGTATCAAATACTGATTACTAACCCTTACCTTTCATTTATATAGATGGATCTATAGAATGCATAAATTATCTTCCAACTGGGATGTGGATCCTGCATTAAACTAACAAATATTATGATCAACACTAAAAGCTCTGGAGCAACCATCTAGTTTGGTACTATCTACTTCCCTTCAGACAATGCAAGGACTATCGTCATTCCTGTGAATGGCGTAAATACTAAAAGGCCTGCAAGGAGACTCCATCCTGCCGGAGCTCCTACCCATTATGCGCATCTGCCAGCATAAGGACCCAATACTGAAGTTGCTACATGCCAGACACATCTGCCAGTGTCACAGCTACTTCTACTATTAAAAATTCTCGTAGGATGATTTTTGTGTTTGAAAGGATATCATAAGCTGAGGTCTCAACCTCTAAAAGAGTTGTGACTGATGAAAAGACTTTTGTGGTGACTGCAAACACCACAACTCTGCCAACCGGGTTATCTACATCCGTGAAGAATGTCAAAGAAGCTTCCTCATCTAGAGGAAGGCTTATCAAGAGGCAAAGGAGAAAGAGGAATGCTGAGCTTCATTCTTAGCAATAACTCCCCGTCCATCCGTCCAACTTAATGGATTAAGAGCTAGAAGCTACAAATCCTGCCTAGAATGGGTTCGTGGACCTGAAATGGGTTTAAAGAAATATCTCTACTAGGGAGCTAAAGAAGTCCTTCTGGGATCAATGCCCATAAGCTTTAGTCCCTCTAAAAAGTAAAGAGCATGAAACTCTTTCAGCCCGGGTATACCAGGTGCTGAAGACTGTAAGGGAGAGAGTCTTGAAAAAAAAAGAAGTATTAATGGCCCTTGATAATTGAAGCTAGAAGAACTCTGCCAAGAGAACATTTATCTATTACAACAGAGAGAAATGAAAAAAAATATGGCCCACCTGTGAAAATTGGGGTGTGACACCCGAACTTCATATTAGAAATCCACCGTCGAATGGTCCCTATGAAAAGGAAAGAAAGTATGGAGGCCCAAGCCTCATAAAGAAGATCGATAAGAAAGAATGGAAAGTATAATCAACTTGGGCATGCCTTCTGATGCGGCTTCCCGGAGATCCACCCTTGCCTACTAAAATAATTAAAAATGGGTTCCAATGAAGGCCCATAATGACGGCACCACACGGTCAACACCTCAGGGAATCCTCTAGGGGATCCTGATGTTCGCCGACTCAAACTAAGGAAGTGGATAACTTTGGCCGCAGCCCACAGGTTAAAGGAGTCTTCTTGCAGATCAAGAACTAGAGATCTAGTGGCACCGCCACTCAGAGATTTGTGTACTCAAGGAAAAAGGGGAAGAAGATATAGAAAGGAAAGAAGATATAAAAGGTGAAGAAAATATAAAAGAAGAATAATATATGGAAGAAGAAATGAAAGAAATAAATGACACACTAACCATTGAAGTTATTTATATGGCAAGGCATGTAGACATCGACAATGAGGAGGCCTATTATAATGACGGTGAAGGAAACAACCATTGGTAACCGCCACCTAGGCAAGCTCACCGACATCACGATGAAGTTAGGTCCACTACTGGCAGAGGTGGCCATTCCCAAGTGGAAGATGAGCTAGAAGAAGTTGAGGAAAATCCTCTCGATGCTAAAGACATCACCCTTGCCAATATGCGATGGCAAATGAGATGAAAGATGAGGGCTAAAGATAGAGTGATGTGGAACATCATAATTAAAGTCTACCTTAGGAATATCTTATCTAATTTGTTATAAGTTGTTGCCCATTTTCTAGAATCTTCTAGGTGTCTCTAGGTTCTTGCTTGCTTATTATATATAGATTGTAAAAGAGGAATGAGGGGATGATGAATATTATCTCTTCTATGAAGCTTTGAAGCTTGTGTTCCTCTTGTTCCCTTGATTGAGATCAAATCCTTCTTGCAGGTAGATTCTTCCGACGGTCCATTACATTAGTTGGTATCAGAGCCCGGAGCTTGCGAAGAACGATGGATTGCAGAAGGTGGGCTATCGATGACGATTGAAGCTGAAGAAAATGGACGATCGACGAAGATCGACGCCGAATAAGATGGGCGGTCGATGATGATCGACGACGAAGGAGATGGGTGGTTGACGACGAAGAAGATGACTATCCTCCACTCTAACTTCCACTCCAATGGAGAGATCCACAGCGCCACTATACTCATGAAGAGAGCCGCCAAGGAAGAAGGGCTGTCAACCGAGATCGATGCCGCGAAGCCCTTCGATTGGCTCAAGTGGAAGCATCAATTGATTGAATAGATGTTTTATGTGTTAATTTCATGCAATCGGTGAAGAGAATCATGAGAAGGCCAACAACCATACTATTCCCGTCGCTCCTATGCTCCACCAACACACAGGCACAACCGACCCTACTTTCGCTTGCAAATAATCCTTCCGTCGTCGATTTCGACTCCGTCGAACAAGTCTTCCGTATGCAAGAACTCCCAAACCCCGCATGAAGACATTCCAACACCCGGCATTCAACTCGATCCTCCTACAAGTCCTCCACCGACAGTTCCAGTTGCTAGACATCTTCCAACCCTCTAGCATGATTTGGGACCCCACAACACTCCACTATGTTCGGGCGATCTAGCTTCAGGTGTCGAGCCCAATCTCTCACGAGCTGATTCCAGTTCTTCATCTCATAATCGACCTCTGACTGCACTCCATGCTTCCATACCAAGCCTGCACACATCCCTCTATGCGCATGTGACCAATGCCTTCCACCCTCTGACCCCATTTCCACTTCCCGACCCGGTAACATCTGGCGATGAATTGCCTCATAGCATGTTCTTGCGTGACTTCAGTCAACTCCCTAGCCGTGTTACTTCGGAACCTTTGCTCACGCATAACTGGATCCCCCGCTCTCTCAACATCTCTATAACGAAGACTCAGACGTTGGAATCATCTCAAGTGATGCCAACGCCCGGCCTATGTCTCAGATCAGTACCATGCCCTACATTTTTAGATAAAAGTTTTACAGGCGAAGTGCCTAGATCTTTGTTAAAGTTTAGGAACCATAGTAAGCTTGATCTAAGCAATGACAGATTTAATGGGAGCTTACCGGAGAATATTTGCAGCACGTCGAGGTTGCAATTTCTTCTATTGGGTCAGAATTCTATTAGTGGGGATATTACTCATGTGATTCAAGACTGTATGAGACTATTCAAGTTGCAGTTGAATGATAATTATTTGACCTGCGGAATTCTGCCCCAGATCAGAACGATCAAGAACTTGCTAAATCTTTGCTCCAATCACATCTAAGGCAATTTGCCGCATGAGCTTGGGAAGCTCGACAAGATGGTTTCATTAGATGTATCTTATGAGAAGCTATATGGAATTATTCCTTCTAAATTCAAGAGTGTGTTGAGTCTAATATTGGTTAACTTCTCTAATAACCAGTTAACTTGTCCAGTGCCAATTTTTGCTCCATTTCAGAAGAGCCCTCCTTCAAGCCTTTTTGGAAACAAAGGTCTTTGTGGTGGTAGTTTTTAAACCACCTTTGATAGGTAACTCTTTCTCGAACCTGAGAAGAGGAAATTATTGGAGATAATAAGAGGGAACTTAAAGAATGGCATCATATCGTGTGCTTGTGCCGTAGAAGTTGATGATCTTATGATGGCAGAATTGTTGATGACCGAGTTAAGACAGGTGGTTTCAATATCAGAGGAACCAATCCAACGTCTGGGATCTTACCTTTTAGAAGGCCTCGTTGCGAGGATAGCGTCTACCGGTAGTTCAATCTACAAAGCTTTCAAGTGCAAAGAACCTACCAGCTCTGAGCTCCTTTCATATATGCATATTTTATATGAGGTATACCCTTACTTTAAGTTTGGTTTTGAGAAGGATGAGTTTTCGTGGAACTCTATGGTTGGGGCATTGCTAAGAACATGGGAGATTCAGGATGCACAAAAATTGTTCGGTGAAAATGCCTAAGAGGGATATTATGACTTAGAACAACTTGTTGGATGAAATCAAGAGCTTACTATGTGATTCTAGTTGGGGTAAAGAATTCATTCCAATGGCCAAATATGTTGTTATTTCTACTGATGGAGGCTTTCAAATTTGTGGAAATCCAAAGAAACTCAATCAACTGATGAACAAGCTTGCGGATAGGTTTGAAAGACGCAGAAGCTTTGACCCAGGAGGATTGCTTATGCTCTCTCACGCTCCTCGATGGAGTCGAGTTCTTTAAACGCGAGGGGAGTATGATGTGGAACATCATAATTAAAGTCTACCTTAGAAATATCTTATCTAGTTTGTTACAAGTTGTTGCCCATTTTCTAGAATCTTTTAGGTGTCTCTAGGTTCTTACTTGCTTATTATATATAGATTGTAAAAGTGGAATGAGGGGATGATGAATATTATCTCTTCTATGAAGCTTTGAAGCTTGTGTTCCTCTTGTTCCCTAGATTGGGATCAAATCCTTCTTGCAGGTCGATTCTTCTGACGATCCACTACATCATAGAAAAATCTCTCAGTTGAACAAGAAAATGACTGAGATGATGGCTCAAATGGTGATGATGATGCAGATGATGTAGAGAAATGTTGTCGTCAGTCCCACAACTAATCCTCCTACTAACCCTCCAAACTTCTAAAGCCCATAAGTATTAAGAACCCGAGAAGCTCCAAAAGGTGGTCATGAGTTCTATAATATTGTCTGCCATCCCACCCCACAAAATATTGCAAGTACCTCCGAACTTCTGACTGATGCATAATTGGAGAGTATTATCACTGAGAAGATTAAGGCCATCATAGTCATTGATCAAGCAGAGAAGTTGGTAAGTAAGGGTCGCCCATACCCTACTAAATATGACCAAGTGCCATCCCCGATAGGGTATTAAGTTCCATACCTTCAATGGTACTATCAACACTAGGAAGCAATTGGCATAATTTGAGGCCACCTGTTGGAATATAGGGGAAAATGATGTATTACTATTCTGCCAATTCGTTAGCAGTTTAACAATAAGTTTTTAAATGGTATGCTGAATTGTCAAATGACTATATGAATACATTTGTAGAATTAGAAGCCATGTTCATGAAGAGATTTTTTAGTGTGATCGAGAATATTACGATTGTCGACCTCACTTTAGACAAATAAAAGAAAGAGGAGTTGGTATCGAAATATATAACTTGCTAGCACAATTTGAGTATGAGATGTTAGTAATAACTCGAAGTGTAATTTTTAATTGGAAATATTAATTATAAGATGTAACCATTTTTATTCATGATGACAATTACTACATTTCAGGTTCTACTGGTTAGAGTGGTCAAGTTTGAGAAGCTAAACTTGTCAAGATCAGAAGGCTACTCTGATAAGCTTAAGAAGGCTAAAGCCTCTAATGCTAAGAAGGGTGAAACCTATTTTACATTCCTCTCACAGGCCAAAAAAGGGGAAGCAGATGGTTTAAAATATAAACAAAGGAAAGAAACGAATAAAGTATAAAAAAAGCCAAAATAAGTCTACAACCCTAATCCTTAGCCGAAGCTGATACTCGGGGAGAATAATAGGCCATGAATCTTTCAAGGTGGATGGGAACGCCCAAGGCAAGCAATAAACTTGGTGATAGAATGTTCCAATCTCTAAAGGATATGATGAATAAAAAATACTAGTTTAAAGGGTGAATGTCAACAAGTTATTTCAAAAGGCACTAAATGCAGGTCTAGAACTTCCAGAGTATAAAACTCTGGAGGAGTTGAATGAAACTGGTGACCCAAATTACTACCCGTATCAGTGAGTGCTCAGCCGTCCCATTGAATATTGCTACATCTTTAATGATTGGCTCAAAAGGAAGTACCAAAAGGGAGAGCTCAAATTATCAGATAATGTATAGACTAATCTTAGAAAAGAATCAACTTGGGTAGTTATGATTTCCTCTATACCTTCGGTTGAAGAAAGATGAAAAGAAAAGAAGCCAATTGATAAAAAATAGTGGGAGACTGTGGTCTCTAAGAAAACTGTGAAAATGATGAGGCAACTTGAATGAGTCCTAGTCAAGAAATGGATCTGCCATTGAGTGATGATAGAGCTCAAGGGGCTGCCTGTGGTGCAAGCTTCTACTTTTAAACAATCCCCCAACCAAGTTGGCACTTCAAAGTCTAGAAGGGTGAAATCCTTTAAAAGAAGACCAAATTGAAAATGCCCAAGAATAAAAAAGGACAAAAACCAAAAGGGTTATCGATAGTTTGGATGAATACTACCAGGCTGTGAGATGCCCCATAAGGCTTGCTGATTTTATGGTAGAGCTCAAAGTTAAGGAGGAAAAAGAGGCTGATGAAGATCCACTCCCTATAGAAACTTGATAGGATGTTTCGATAATACCAGTGGCTCTGACCAAAAAGGAAAAAAGAAGCACCCTCTGAACCCTTTATGATGGTTTCACCAATGGATTATAGTGTGTTGGAGGATATGTATTTTCCAGAAGAAGATGAATCAAAATCTTGATATCAATTCACACATGGAGCAGGTGAACTTGGTCAGTAGCTCTGAATCCATGGATGAATCTCCAGATGTAATGATGGTCGATTCTAAGGAAAATATGTCATTAATTGAGTCTAAGAAGGAGGATATTTCCCAAGTGCAGTTGAGAAGTGGTAAGACACTAACATCTTCACCGAAGAAAGGAATCCCTAACAAAGACAAAGGGAATGAGATTATTGTCAATGAAGATACCATTCCCAAGGACCCCAAGAAAGATGCTCCAAATAAAGGGATAGATTATAATATCCTATCCCATATGAGAAAAATTCCAATGCAACTCAATATATATGATGCTCTAGTGATATCCAAAGACCTTTGAGAGATCTTAATTCAGGCTCTCAAGGAGACCGATATATATGAAGCATACTTTGCTGAACGTAACCCAACTAAGGTCTTACAAACCTGAAATGAACCAATCATTACTTTTGCCAAGGACGACAATATGCTCATAATGGTAGATCATAACCGCCCTTTGTACGTTATTACATAGAGTGACAAAATGATAATCATCCAAATTTTTATTGATTCCGAGTCATCTATCGACATTATGAGCTTGAAAGCACTGAGATCACTTTGTCTTGATATACAACACCTCAGACAAAACTAATTGATGGTGCACAACTTCAATGAGAAGGGGGAAAAAACCATAGGGTTATTTATGCTATCTCTAGTATTTTGAGAACTACATATTGAAGTAAAATTCCATGTGATTGATGTAGTAATCTCATTTAAGGTGCTTTTAGGTCACCCATAGTTGGATGATCATAACATTATCCCATTAACACTGCATTAATGTATGAAGTATATTAGGGATGGAGAGAAGTTTAGAATCTCCAGTGATATTCAACCCTTTACGATTCATGAGGTGAAAATCTATGAAAATGCTAAGCACTTCATCCCTAAAGAGCCATAGTTGTCGAGTTCTCTCGAGACTAAGGCAATAAGCCCAAAGGCTGCAAAGCAGCCCAAATAAGAAGATGAAAAGAACCAAGTAGAGAGAAAGAAGGTCACGCCGACTCTTCCCAAAGCAGCGATCACTCCTAACCCAAAGAAACATGTGCCTCATCTAGGGAGTGACACAGATGAAGATGACGACATCCCTATTAAATCTCAAGAAATTTGCCAATCACTAGCTTGGGAAAAAAAGGCAAAATATTCAGATGATGACTATGACTACGAGTCTACCTACATGAATAATGCGCAAAGTCTACGATCTCAGATAGTGTATATGTAGTCACATATGTTCCCCCTCAACATTTTACATAAATCATTCCTCGATACGTGCATAATGTCACAGAGCTCATAACATTTTATATGCCTCCTCTAAGAAAAAGGGATGGGCAAGGAACTCAATTTTATAAATCTAGAG